ATTAATATTCCTTAATTGTAGGGGTGAGGGGTGTCAAATGGATATGTTAGCCCACTTTCTTTAAAATAACCAATCATGTTGTTTCATCCCCACTATGCTGTCCACCCTGTAGCTGATTGTATTGTTTTCCCCACCTACTCAATCTTTTACTACCCAAACTATATTTAGACTGGGGTCCCTTACATTGGGGTCTTTGGTCATTGAGAGAGGCCATTGACCCAATTTATTTACTGATAGGCTGATAAATTGATCATGCTCAGATCATTATTTACCTTAATTTTCAAATGTAACATGATTCATTGTAAAAAACGAGAGGGTCAAAGAACAAATTATAAGAATATTGATAATTATGCAAAAGAAAATAATAATGATGACATGTCATACAAAAGTTTTTAAGATAAAACTAAAGCAATTCTTAGAGGAAAAATTATATCTCTAGATCACATATTAAAATTAGAAAAAGAAACAATTAATGAACATACTATTCATGCAAAATAGAAAGACAATAAACAAATACAAAATAAGTACAAAAGCAGAGATATTAAAAATTCAATTAGAAATAGAAAAAAGTAGAAAAGAAAAATAATTATATTAAATGGCATACAAAACTGGAAGTTTGTTCTTTGAAAATACTAACAATATTGCTAAACTTTTATTTCACCTGATTAAAATGAATAAAGCAGAAAATGAAATCAACAAGATAGCAAAGGAACTAGGTAAAATCACAACACCACGAGAAGAAATAAAAATAATATCATAATCTACTATGCACAGTTATATGCAAACAAATCTGAGAAAACAAAATAACTAGTGTTTTGCTATGTAAAAAGTAAAATACCTAAGCCAACAGAAGATCAAAAAGGTATCATAAAGAATCCATTCTCATAAAAAACAAAACAAAACAAAACAGAATTAGCTATACTGGAACTACCAAAGGGAGCAACAACAAAAAACATCAATAAAAACAACAACACAATATTGCTCCTGGTCCTGATGGATACATATGAAAATTCTATTAAACTTTAAAAGAATAATTAATCACAACCCTAGACAATTTACTTCCTCAAATTAAGAAAATACTCTATCAGAATCTTTTTATAAGATAAACTATTATCTAAACCAGCGAAAGAAAAAGCAAAAAAAAAAAAAAGAAGAGTAGCAACCAATATCATTAACATTGATTCAAAATGTGGAAATAAAAACCTCCCAAACATACTGCAACAGCTGATCCAAGAAATCTTTCATTACAACCAAATTGAATTTATGCCAGGGATTCAGGGATACGTATATATGTATGTATGTATGTATGTATGCATGTATGTATATATACACACATGCATAAATATATACATAGAGAGAGCAATCATAACTAATTATGTAAAAAAATCAAAACTACATAATTGTTTTGCTATAGAATTTTTTAACAAAATCAAATAAATATTTATGTTAAAAATAATATACCTCCATGAAGCATAAGTATTTAGAAATATTTTTTAAATTAAAGACTATATTTAAAATAAAAAAGCAGATTAAGCCTTATATGCAATGGAAATATACTAGACACATTCCCAATAAATATAGGAGTAAAACTAGGATGTATATTCTTACCAGATGATATACAAGCAATGGCAAAAAGACAGGAGAAAGACATTTAATATTTAAGATGGGCAAAAAGGAGATAATGCTATCTGTGTTAGCTATAGCATGATGTTTTATTTATAATATTCTAGGGAATTAGTAAAAAGGTTAAATGAGACCACTAATAGTTTCAGTAAAGTTAGATGACACAAAATAAACCCACAAAAAATCAACAAAGTTTCCATATATATACACACACACACACACACACACAAATACACACACACACACACACATATATATATATGTGTATATATATATATATATATATGTATATCCAAGAGCCAATAATTGAAAGGGAAATTCTATTCAAAATAAATACAAATTACATAAAATCCTTGGGAGTGTCATTATTGTGTAAATTCAGTTACAAAGTATCTCTTAAGCTTTGTTAACCAGCAGAGATAAATAAAATCTATCATCTTAATCATATTCTTCATAAATTTTACAAAGTCATTGTTGAAAGTGTAGGGAAAATAATAAAATTGAATAAAAAAAACACAAATTGATCACAGGATTTTAATAGTTTTATTAGTCTATTCTTTGCCTGTCCTAATAGAGGGAATGAAGTAGGGTTGGGAGTGAGCAGGGAGTAGGAGAAGTAATATGATTAGGATAGGGATTTTTTTTTCACTTCCATGATTTTTATAAAAAGGGATAATAAGAGAGAGACTTGTAAATATTTCAACCTTTTCCAGCCAAGGGAAAATGTTTCTTTATTAGTTCAACTTCATTTAGACAGAAGAGTATAATTTCTGTAAGGGCCAGGACAAAGATTATTTTTAGTTTTTTCCTTTCTTCATATACTCACCTTCTAAAAAAATCTCAAGACAGAATAGGTGCTTAATAAATATTGGTTGGATTGAATCATGATAAACAAACAAACCACGAAGGAAGGAAGGAAGGAAGGAAGGAAGGGAAAAAAAAGAGTTCCTTAAACAAATAAAGAGTAACATAAATAGCAGGAAGAATATTCAGTGCTGTTTGCTCAGCCAGGTCAGGATAACAAAAATGACACTACTAAAGTTAATTTACATTTTAAAGCTGTATCATTCAAATTAAAAAGAGATATTATATAAAACTTGATAAAATGACAAGATTATTTTGTTGAAAAAAGTTCTATGATATCAAGAGAAATAATGACAAAAATAATGACAAAAAAGTAGGAATGAAGAGAATAGAATGAGACCTTGAACTACATTATAAAACAGTAGTCATAAAAATCACTTGATATCAGTTAAAAAATAAAGTAAATCAGTGGAACAAGACTAGAAAAAGGAGAATCAAAAACAATGGAATCCAATAACTTAGTGTTGATAAACGCTAAAACTTAAATTGATGAGAAACAAACTATTTGATTTAGAAAAAATATCTACTGGAAAAACTGGAAAACAATTTGATAGAAATTAGGATTAGACAAATATTTTATACAACAATCCACAATAAATTCTAAATAAATATATGACCTGAATATGAAAGATCTTACCATAAAAACAAATTAGAAGAGAAGTAAATTATATACCTTGCAAAGGTATAGGAAGTAGACGTGTTCTTATTCACAGAAGAAACAAAAGTAATTGCAGAAGATAAAATAAATACTTGCAATTGAAAAGCTTCTCCACAAACAAAATTAATGAATTCAGAATAAGTAGAGAAGTGGGTCAATTGGAAAAAAATAAATTTTGAATCAAATTTCTATTATAAGAGTTTTCTCCTTACTCAAATTGTGGAAGCATTACTAATTTACATAATACATATCCATATAACCAAAAGTCATTCCCTAATATGTCAGATCAATGGATATATACTTTAACTGTTAATACAATGATTATATTAACTATTCATTTGATGTTATATTAATTAATATGATAGAAAGCTCCACATCATTAATATTAAGTTCATGCAAGTCAATACCCTGAGGTTTCACTTCCTATATAGAGAAAGATCGCAAGAATGTGGACACATTGCTGCATTATTAGTAGAACCATGAATCAGTAAAATATTTTGAAAGTAATTTTGAAGTAGGGAAATAAATTGACTGGAACATGTATATCCTTTGACCCAGACTTTTCCCTGCTGGGCATATATGCCAAGGAGGTCTTTAATAAAAAAGAAAGTTCCCATATACAACAAAATATTTATAGTAGCATTTATTTGTGGTAGTAAAGAATTGAAAAGGAAATAGATACCCAATAATTGAGGAACAGCTAAATACATTGTGACACATGAATGTAGTTGAATGTAAACTGTGCTGTAATAAATAACAAACACAACTATAAAGAAGCTTGGAAGACTTAGATGAATTGATGCAAAGTTAAATAAGAAGAGCCAAGAAAATAATATACACAATAATTAAAGCAACATAAAAGAAAAGAATTGAAAGTGAATGCTGTAAAATTGTAATGAACAAACATGGACCCAAAGAAAGATACACAAACAATAGCACCCCTATCTTATGAACTGTACGACCGAGAGAAATCAGAGCACAGCACCCGATTGACATGAATTGTGAACGCGTTTATTTGAGCCGGCCGGCGACGGACCCCAGGCGTGCATCCCAGGGGCCGCGCCGGCGAGGGTTTTATCTGAAATATTTATACTGTCCGGTTACAAAACAGGGTCCGGTGGGGTGCCGGGAAGAGAACAGGGTCCGGTGGGGTGCCGGGAAGACAGATCAGGTTATTTACAGAACAGGATGTTGCACCCCACCCTTGAAGATCTCACCCAGGATGTTGCAACAGCCGTTAGGGGAAGCTGAGCCAGAGGCCCCGGGGCGTGGTGCCCCTGGGTCCCTAACGGAGGGTCTATCACATTCCCCCCTTTTCAAGAGCAAGTTATACAGAGGACTCAACAGAGTCCAGGGGCGCTGACTCATCCGAATCCAGGGGTGTATAGGATTTGCGTAGGACAAACAGTTTCAGAGACTGTATACGCTGCTGGATGTAGCGGGAGAGACAATTCATGATGCAAGGGGCGACCAATAATCCTAGGAGGAGAAGAACCAAGGGGCCCATTATAGCAGAAAGTAGAGTGGTGAGCCAGGGGGACCAGTTATACAAGTTCTGGTACCAGGAGGAGCCGCGGGCTCGGGCTCGGTCCCTATCATCTAACCGCTGCCTTAATGCCTGCAGGGATTCCCGGATGACACCTGAACGATTGGTATAGAAACAACAGGTCTCTCCCAGGGCCATACACAGCCCCCCCTGTTTCAGGAATAACAGGTCAAGGGCGCGGCGGTTCTGAAGCACCACCTCCGCTAGGGAATCCAGGGAAGTCTCCAGGTGGGAGACTAGTCCCTCCAGAGCTCGTAGGTCCTTATCCACCTGGGTACTGAGGGCCGCATAATCTGCCTTTCCCTGCACTAGGGCGGTTGTTCCCACGGCTGCAGACCCGGCCACCCCGAGCCCCACCAGCAAGGGCACTAAGATAGGGGCTGCCCTTCTGGAGCGGGGTAGGCCAAAGTGTTCGGTGGCCCCCTCCTCGGAATACACATACACCTGTGGGAACACCCTAACTATCACACAGATCTCAGTGGGGCTGAGGAAGTGGCGATCTTGTATACAGGTGGTGAGGCCCAGAGTGCAGGCGAACCAAGTCTCGGGTGGGGTGGTTATCAGGAAGCCGGGCCTATTGGACGAGGGTGTGACTAAGATAACAGAAGTGCAGGTTGAATTAAATGGGGAAGCTCTCAACGGGTAGTCAGGTCCAAGCAAGCACGTCCCTGTGTCCTGGACGTCATCCAACGTCAATTTAGGCCCATTTGGGTTACAGCGGGCGGGGATTGCTGTGGAGGAGGGGTTCTGCATGGACAAGTTCCCCAGAAATGAACTGTTTAACTCCAAAGCGATCCCCACAAAGTATGGGGGAGCCGGGTTTAGGCACAGCCAGCAGGCGGTAGTGACATTGGGGTCGGAGGAATTCAAGAATGCATGGACCGCAGTAAGGGTGTCAAGTATGGAGGCCCCAGGGGCACCGGGTGTTTCTAGAGTCGCCAATCCTGGTGTAGCCGAGGGCTCAGCAGACGGAATCAGGTCTATCTTGGCCCGTGGGTTGAGGACAGGGTTGGGGCCTATGGGAAGGGGCTGAACGGGTAAGGCGACCTTTTGTATTGTGAAAAGGACACCGTTGTCCCATCCAGTCATATACGACCTCAACCCCCATGAATGCCCAAGATTCCATGAGTCATCCGTGTACTGTTTGACCGTTAAGATCATGGGGTTGCATTTTCCAGGCCAGCAGGAATACGGGAGAGGTGACTGTCTTTCCAAAGTGATGAGCGGGTCTTTTCCACCCCCAGGAATCCAGTCTGCCACTGTCTCACACCCCCACTCTGCGCAGTGGAAACTGCCGCCTCCATGGCAAGAGGGGCTTCCGGTGGCAGGACAGGCATAGAACTGGATGCCCCTGATATTATATTCACCTTGTCCTGCTCCATGTTGGGTGGCTGGTATGGGAATAGTAGGGCAGTGCCCGCCCCCTCCCGTCACAGGGTCCTGCAGGTGCCTATCTCTATTCCATCCCAATCCTAAGAGGGCACAGAGGTCAAACCTGAAGGTAGGTGGGCCATAGCAAGTTAAGGTCTGTATGATGGTGCCATCATTGGTGCGGGATAGAATCCACCTATGTGGGGTGGGGCGGTAGGGGTTACAGACTGCGGGATATTCCTTATAAGCAAACAGGAGAAGCGAAAGAATCAAGTTTTGGAGAGCCGGAGCCTTAGATCCGACACCGCCTCTGCTTTCCATTTCGCGGGCTCAGGCGCCGGAGTCTTCTTGACGTGTGACCGATGTATCCAAGCCTTTCGACCCGCGACTTTCACGGCCGATGGGTTGCAGAGGATCACTTGGTAGGGCCCAGTCCACCGCGGTTCCAGAGCCGATCCGGCAGGCAGTTTGCGGGTGAGGACCCAATCTCCAGGTGTCAAGGCCCCCGAGGTAGCGGCAGGATCCGAACTTCTCCCTGCAGCCTTTAGGACCGATCGTACCGCGTCTTGGACCTCCCAGAGTGCCTGAAAGGACTTAAGAAGAGTGGGGTTAGTAAAATCTGGGGCTGGGGTTGCCCCCGTTACCTTTGGTAGGACAGGTGGGGGCGCCCCATAAAGAATCTCATACGGGGAGAGAGAGAGAGTGGAAGAGTTAGGAGTACACCTAGCCCGAAGGAGAGCGAAAGGGAGGAGGCTAACCCAGTTATCGCCAGTTTCCAGTTTGAGCTTAGCAATGTGCTCCTTCAAAGTCCTATTCATCCTGTCTACTTGCCCTGAACTCTGAAGCCGGTACGCACAATGTAGCTTCCACTTCAGTCCCAGCATCTTGGATAAATTCTGAATTGTTGCAGATACGAATGACAGCCCATTGTCGGACCCTATCGAAGCTGGCAAGCCGAATCTGGGAATGATTTCAAAGAACAGTTTTTTTGCAACTACTGTGACGGTTTCGGCTTTTACTGGCTTCTGGACACCCGGAGAACGTGTCTATGAATACAAGGAGGAATCGGTACCCCCCCTGTCCAGGTCCCATATCGGTGAAATCAACTTCCCAGTGATCCCCGGGGAAGGTCCCCTGCGGTCTATCAGCCGGCACCCTCGTCGCCAGCCGGGGGTTGATCTTTGCACATGTACTGCATCTCCTGGCCGCCTCCTCAGCTGCCTGTTTCATCCCTGGGCTGTAGAAATGCCTACTCACCAGGTCGTAGAGCCTGGTTCCGCCTAAATGGGTGAGGTCATGGAGGGTCATCAATAGAGGGGGCAGGAGGGCTTTGGGCAGATTTAACAGACCGTTCGGGTGTCTTCTCCATCCCCCCTTTTCAGGCACGCCATCCGGATCGCCGAACTGGTAAGAAGGTCGTGCGGGCAATAAGTTTTCCGTCTGGACAGCGAAGGCGGGGAGAGGCGTCCTCCTTGCGGCCGCACGGGCGGCTCTATCTGCGGCTGCATTTCCCTGCGACTGGGGGTCCGTCCCACGGGTGTGAGCTGGGACTTGGATGACTGCCACCTCTTTGGGAAGCCAGACAGCATCCAGGAGATCCTGAATCTGCCTCTTATTCCTGATCTCCTTCCCTGCTGAGGTTAGCAGGCCGCGCTGCTGGTACACGAATCCGTGAACATGGACAGTCGCGAATGCATACCTGCTGTCAGTGTAGATATTGACTCTCTTGCCCTTCGCGAGCCGGAATGCCTGCGTCAAGGCAACCAGCTCTGCCCGCTGGGCAGAAGAACCAGGCGGCAGGGCTGCGTCCCAGAGGGTCTCGGTTGGGGTCACCACTGCGGCCCCGGCCCTCCGAATCCCATCCTCCACGAAGCTGCTGCCATCTGTGAAGAGGATCATGTCAGGACTGGTCATAGGTACATCGGTAAGGCCGGGCCGGGAGGTGTGGATGGCGTCAAGGACGTCCAGGCAATCATGCAGCGGTGATGCCGGCGGGGAGTTGGGAAGCAGCGTAGCGGGGTTCAAGGTCACGGGCGCAGAGAAGGTTATGCGGGTTGGATCTAACAGGAGGGACTGGTAGTGAGTCAGACGAGAATTAGAGATCCACCGAGTGGGAGGGGTGTGCAGCAACTGCTCCAGGTGGTGAGATGCAGAAATCTCAAGGGGCTGGCCGAAGGTCAGCTTTGTTGCCTCCCTGACCAGGGTCGCGACAGCCGCAACGGTTCGAAGACATGTAGGCCACCCAGCAGCGACCGAGTCAAGCTGCTTGGAAAGATAGGCCACTGGGCGATTCCAGGGCCCCAAAGGCTGGGTTAGCACTCCCTTGGCCACTGCCTGAGATTCTGAGACATAGAGGCGGAACGGCTTAGTCAGGTCCGGCAGGGCAAGAGCGGGGGTACTAGCTAACGCTCCGCGCAGTTTGTTAAAAGCCTCCTCCTGCCTTGGTCCCCACAGGAACTTGGCAGGCTCACCTGACAGTGCCTCATACAGTGGTTTAGCGATTTCCGCAAATCCTAAGATCCACAGTCGGCAGTACCCGGCCATTCCCAAAAATTCACGGAGCCCGCGGCGGGTTGCTGGGGCCGGCATGCCCAGGATAGCTGACACACGTTCCCGCGAAAGCAGCCTTTGTCCAGACTGCAGGGTGAATCCTAGATAGATAACAGATTGTAAGCACAGCTGAGCTTTCTTACCCGAAACCCGATAGCCCGACTTGTCCAATAGCTGCAGGAGGTGCAGCGTAGCATCTCGGCAGGTCGTCTCGGATGAAGCGGCCAACAGCAGGTCATCCACATACTGGAGGAGTGTGACCTCGGGGTGGGATACGCGAAACCTGGCTAGGTCCGAGGCCAGGGCTGAGCCAAAAAGAGTAGGAGAGTTCTTGTACCCTTGAGGCAATCGAGTCCAGGTTAGTTGGGAGGACGTTCCAGTTGAGGGGTCGGTCCATGTGAAAGCGAATATAGGCTGGCTGATAGGGGCCAGCGGGATGGAAAAGAAAGCGTCCTTCAAGTCCAAGACAGTGTACCATGAGCGGGTTGGAGTCAAAGAGGACAACAAGGTATACGGATTAGGCACAGTGGGATGGACCGTCTCCACCCTGGCATTCACCTCCCGCAAGTCCTGGACTGGGCGGAAATCTCCGGATCCGGGTTTACGGACCGGCAACAGGGGAGTGTTCCAAGGAGCCGAAGGGTGGCTCGACCCCTGAACAGGATATGGTGGGGGTCGAGACTCAGCCGGGTCCAGGGGGTCAGAATCGGAAGGGGGTAAGACCTTGGCTCCTACTTGCGTAGTCCCGGGAACCTTTTGGCCGGATGTTGGCCCCGAGTGCACCCCGACTTTGGACAAAGCTTGAACCCGGAGTGGCTTTGATGGGGGTTTAAAATCTATCCATGCAGTTATATATGGGATCTGATCGGGATGGCCAGGGGTCCCATAAGCAATCTTCCTGACCCTCCCAGTAATGGTCACGTCAAATGTCCCTTCCGGGGGCCACCCAACCCCAAATGTAGGCCATTCTTGTTGACAAAAAGTGGACAAATTTTCTTTGGTAACTTGAAACCCATATCCCTTGGCAATACGCCGAAACTGTTTGAAGTTCTGTAGGACAATTGAGAGAGGGGTCCCCGGTGTGGGGCTTGACGGCCCCTGACCCATCACGGACGGGAAGAGGCGAATCAATTAGGACAAAAACATATAAGACAGACATAAACAGTTAAGACAACACTCCAGACATTAACATGCAGAGCCAGACTACAGATAATCAGGACTCTCACACAGCGTCCTGTGGAGGTCAGTAAGGGCGTTACAGCTGCATCCAGCCAGGCCACTTACTTCCGTTGAGTACTCACCGATCAGACTGAGACCAGAGCGCTCGGTGCCCAATTAAGAAATTTAGAGGAAGAATACGGGCGGGCTGGTTCGCACGGGATAAGTCAGTGTTCGGGGCCTGGGCACATCTTCCCGGTGGCCATCCCCTGAACACGTCCCACCCCGGCCTTCCAGCAACGCCGAAGCAGCTGGCCCAAAGGGCGATCTCGGTGGGACCTCCAAGTGAACTGGACGACCGAGAGAAATCAGAGCACAGCACCCGATTGACATGAATTGTGAGCACGTTTATTTGAGCCGGCCGGCAATGGACCCCAGGCGTGCATCCCAGGGGCCACGCCGCCGAGGGTTTTATCTGAAATATTTATACTGTCCGGTTACAAAACAGGGTCCGGTGGGGTGCCGGGAAGAGAACAGGGTCCGGTGGGGTGCCGGGAAGACAGATCAGGTTATTTACAGAACAGGATGTTGCACCCCACCCTTGAGGATCTCACCCAGGATGTTGCAACAGCCGTTAGGGGAAGCTGAGCCAGAGGCCCCGGGGTGTGGTGCCCCTGGGTCCCTAACGGAGGGTCTATCACACTTACCCCAAGTAGTCTTTTGTAGATGTCAGAGATTCATGGGTATGGAACATTGCAAGTATTTGCAGAGCGGTTAAGCAACTTGCTCAGGATTACATCGTTAGTAAGCATCTGATGCAAGGTTCAAACCTAGGTGTTCTGAGCTCAAAGTCCATTTTTCTATCAACTCTATTATGTTTTCTCTCCAGTTAAGGCATATGCTCTTGCTCTCTGTATTTTTGTCATCTTCTTGTTGTCTCAATATTCTATTGCCCAATACCACTGTTTAATTATAATAATAATAATATTTATATAGCATCTATTACGTGC